AATCAAATATGAATAGCCGAGCCGAATAAAGATACACCAATCAAACATGGATGAGACGAGTGAGTTGAAAAATGATTTAGGCCGAACTTCAAGATGAAGCTGCCTATGTATCCCAAAGATAGGAATCAGGCCATACGTAGTTCCGGTTAAGGTTCACTCGGGTATTGACACTCTCCTTTTGTGCTCTAACTTTTGCCAAAGTTGCCCTTTCGGGTTTTCAACCTTGCGAGCTTTTCATTTTTCTATTTTATTTTATTTTATTTTATTTTTTTGCTTTAACTTTTGCCTGGGTCGCCCTTTCAGGTTTTCGGCCCAGCGAGCCTCTCAAGGGTAGTACTTCTTCAGCTTGTCCATGTTGATTGGTTGTGAGAACTCCAAACCATCCAAATCCACGAGAATGACTGCTCCTCCTGACCAAATTGATTTAATGATGTAGGGACCCGTCCAATTGGGTCTAAACTTGCCCCTGGGGTCGTGAATAGGAGCTCGGCTGTCTTTCAACACTAAGTCCCCTTCCCTCAAATTCCTGGATCTAACCTTTTTGTTGAATGCTTTGGCAATCCTGTGTTGATACCCTTGAATGTGGTATAACGCCTTCAATCGTCGCTCATCAAATAGCATCAGTTCCTCAAATCGGTTCTGTTGCCAATCAGCTTCTGTTATCTGATATTCAGCCAGAATCCTTAATGAAGGCACTTCCAACTCAATCGGCAAAACAACCTCCATTCCATATACCAAAGAGTAAAGGGTTGCCCCTGTAGACGTTCGGATTGATGTCATGTATCCCCAAAGTGCAAAAGGTAACTTATCTGGCCAATCTCTATAAATTTCAACCGTCTTACACAGGATGTTCTTGATGTTCTTATTTGCAGCTTCAACGGCTCCATTGGTTTGTGGCCTGTAGGTTGATGACTTGTGAAAAGCCACGTTATACTTCTCAAGTAGAACTGCCACTTCTCCTTTGAAATGTGAGCCATTGTCTGAAATTAATTCATTTGGCACCCCGTATCTGTAGATAATGTTGTTCCTGATAAATTTGGCCACATGTGATGCTTTCAACACTGAATATGACTGTGCTTCAACCCACTTGGTAAAATAGTCAATGGCAACCAAGATGAACTGATGCACATTTGAACCTTTCGGTGTGACTGCCCCGATGACATCTATGCCCCAGACTGAGAAAGGCCAAGACGAAGTCAAGTTGTAGAGTTTTGATGGCGGGATGTTCATGCGATTAGCATGGATTTGACATTTATGGCATCGCCTAACAAAGTTGATACAATCACTCTCCATGGTTAACCAGTAGTATCCTTGTCTAAGGATTTTTCTGGCTAGCATTACACCGTTCATATGGGCTCCACACTCTCCTCCATGGATGGTTTCCATGATACGCTTTGCCTCTTCTTCCTCTACACACAGCTTGTGCATACCCAAATATCCTCTCTTGTATAACTTATCTCCACAAATGACTAACTGAGTGGTCAGACGCTGTATCCCCTTTTTGTCTTTGGTGTTTGCCCCTAGTGGGTATGTACCTCTTTCCAGAAAATTCCAAATATCAAAGTACCAAGGGTTTTCATCTTGAACTTCTTCCGTTGTGGCTATCATTTCATACGCGGGGGTGTACCTTCGTTCTATAAGGATCGGGCGCATCTTGACCCCGACCGGTATATCTATCATTGATGCCAGGGTTGCCAATGCATCAGCGAATCGGTTGTTCTCTCTTACCAGGTGTGCAAAAGTTAGTTTTTCGAACCTCGAGATCAACATGTCCAAGGTCTGATGGTAGACTTTCATTTTTTCCTCTTTAACTTTCCAATCTCCGTTGGCTTGAGAGACAATCAAGTTTAAGTCCTCGATCACATCCAACCTTATTGCCCCTAGTTCTAGGGTTGCTTCCCATCCGGCAATGCACGCCTCATACTCTGCTTGGTTGTTAGATACCCTGAATCGAAGTTTAAAAGCTAAGGGAATATGGGAATCATCTAGCGCTATGAACAACACGCCTATCCCATAGCCAAATTGATTGGACGCTCCATTGAAGTACAATTTCTAAGTGTCTTCTTCCATCTGCATGACCTCTTCATCTGGAAATGAGTACTCCATATCTTCTCCTCTTTCAATTGGGCGATCAGCCAAAAATTCTGCTACGGTCCTTCCTTTGACAGATTTGCGAGTGACATACTTAAGGTCAAATTCAGAAAGCAACAGCAACCAACGAGCTAGCCTACCGGTAAGTGCTGGTTTCTCAAAAAGATATTTGATTGGGTCTAATCTTGAAACCAGAATTACCGAGTGAGCTAACAGGTAGTGTCTCAACTTCTTGGTGGCCCATACCAAAGCTAAGCAAGCTTTTTCCAAAGGAGTATAGTGGGTCTCATATTCAAGCATCTTTTTACTTAAGTAGTAGATGACCTTCTCTACTTTCTCATCCGACTCTTGTGCAAGCATACATCCCATGGTTAATTCAGTCACTGACAAATACAAAATCAGCGGTTTCCCTGGCTCGGGTGGTGATAACACAGGCGGATTCTGCAAATATTGCTTAACTTGCTCAAAAGCGAACTAACACCGATCATCCTATTGAAACTTCTTCCCTTTCTTCAATAGACCAAATAGTGGTTCACAAGTTAAAGTTAATTTTGAAATAAACCTCCTTATGAATTGCAACTTCCCCAGAAAGCCCCGCACCTCCTTTTCAGTCATTGGTGGCGGCATTTCTAAGATGACCTTAATTTTAGATGGATCAACTTCGATTCCCCGCTGTGTGATCAGAAATCCCAACATCTTGCCAGCAGTTACCCCGAAGGTGCATTTCTGTGGATTCAGCCTTAGCCTGTATTCTTTGATTCTCTCAAAGAATTTATTCAGTGCAGTGTAATGGCTTTCCCGATCTTTGGACTTGACAATCATGTCATCTACATACACCTCAACTTCCTTATGGATCATATCGTGCAAAAAAGTAGTATCAGCTCTCTGATAAGTGGCCCCTGCATTCTTCAAACCGAATGGCATAACCCTGTAGCAGTATGTCCCCCATGGTGTGGTAAATACTGTCTTTTCTCTGTCCTCTAAAGCCATAAGGATCTGGTTATTCCCTGAAAAACCATCCATGAATGACAGTAAGGCATGCCCTGCAGTGAAGTCTACCAATTCGTCAATATGTGGCAATGGGAAATCATCCTTTGGACTAGCCTTATTCAAATCCCGGAAGTCAACACAAACTCGGATTCTGCCATCTTTCTTCGGAACTGGCACAATATTGGCTAACCAAGTAAGATATTCTGATACGAGCAAAAAACCAGCATTGATTTGCTTAGTAACCTCTTATTTAATTTTCAAGGCCCAATCCGGACGAATTTTGCGAAGCTTCTGTTTGACAGGTCGGGCCTCAAGGTCGAGAGGGATCCTATGTTGTAAAATCTCAGGGTCAATTCCCGGCATGTCTTCGTAGTACCATGCAAAGATATCTTTGAATTCTGTTAATAAAGCAACTAATTGTTCACGTTCCTCTAAAGACAATGTAGAACCAATTTGGATCAAGCGAGGATCTTTTTCAGTACCCATATTTACAGAAACAATTTCATCCACTAATGGCTTAGCACGCCTTTCTTTCTCCCAGTCGATTAAATTTTTCAAAGCCTGAGGGATTTCTTCCTCTTCGTTTTTATCAAGATCTTGAAAATTTTGGTCAATGTTATGAACTATGGGCACAGAAAAGTAGGCGAAAATCACATCTTCATTCAAAGCCTCAGGCTCACAAGTTGCAACAGACTCAAAAGAGAAAGAAAAAGAAGACTCAGACATCTTAGACAAACTAAAATCTGACTTCAACCCCACAGGCCCACCGGACTCAAACTCAACAGCCAATTCAAAACTCTCAATACAACTCTTTTCAAAATGCCAATTCATTTGTGAGCCATTCATTGCATCCATGATGAAGCTTGAACAGTCAGCAGGTACCTCTTCCCCGATCACGACAATGGTCATATCCCCCAAATTTACCGGTTCAGCGCTAGTATGCGATTCTGTCAGTAAATTAGCCAATGTTAGACCCAGGACTTCCTCTGCGCTGTTTTCGGAGCTGACTTCTCTGTCTTGTCCAATGTCGATGCTAGGATCTACCCACTCCTCGCTACTATCGGAGAGTTGATGATCGAAAAAGATCTCAAACCCAGGGTATCTCTTCTTCTCCACTTGATCAAACTAGGGCTCAGGAAAACCACAGAAAGGGAAGTCTTCTCCTTGGCGGACAAAGCGTCCATTCAAAGTCCCATGAATTGGTTTATGAATCAACTGAAACTGCTGCTCGGTTCTCTTGGCCTTGATCTTCTCCCTGATCTCTTCAGTTTTCCTTTTCCAGTCATCAGCCGTGGGTGCATACCCTAGTCCGAATGCATGTGGGTTTTGAGGTACTTCATTGGCTATAGTAATACCTTTCTTGCCACTTCGTCCCAATCCCATCCCTGGAATGTGGCCTAGTTTACTCATGAAATAGATTGATTGGGCACTAACGTTTACACCTTCCTCTTCTGCCATGAGCGTTTGAACTAGCTGGGCCTCTGCCAATGTAAAACCTGACAGGAACACATCCTCTTCCCCATGTTGTATTTCTAGTAGTGGTGTTGTGACTTCTGGAGGAGGATGAATGGATGAATTTCTGAAGACAGTGGCAATTCCTCTGCCATATGGGTACTTTACCAACTAATGTAATGTGGATGATACAGCTTTCATCTGATGAAGCCAGGGCCTTCGCAATAGCAAGTTGAATGTTACGGGAACATCCATGACATGAAATTCAGCTTCGTGCTTAGATGGACCCACTGCTATTTGTACTTTGATTGTCCCCATCACTTCCCGACTAGTATTATGATAGGCCCGGATCAATTGAGTAGAGGCGTGAAATCTACCGACTTTAGTCCGATTGCATAAGCAGTGCGTGTAGGGCAAACATTGATGGCTGATCCAGTGTCAATCAGAACAATCGGGATCCATTTCTTTCAGCATTCCAGTGATACGTACAGAGGCTTATTATGTCCCGATCCTTCTTGTGGCAACTCTTTGTCAGCAAAAGTTATTGCCGGGATTGCTTCTCTCGGGGTGATTAATGACACTAATTGCTCGGGAGTGGTGTCAATTGACAGCTTAGCCTGGCTCAAAATTGACAACATTGCCTGTCGATGTTCTCGGGAGGCCATGAGAAGACCCCAAATGGAAATGTTTGCTTGGATCTTTTTTAGTTGTTTTAGAACCAGGTCTTCTTCTTCCTCTTTCTCTTTTCCTTTATCTTTCTCTTTCTTTACCTCTTTATCTTTGCCAGAGGGCTCTCCTTGGTCTAGATGTGGAGGCTTGAAGTAGCGCCCACTCCTGGTCAAATGATCGATTTCGTCTGCATACCAAGTCTCATCCGGCACATGGTTTACCCATTCATCATCAGTATGGGCCAGCTGTAGGTCATTATCATCCCACTATTCGCCTTCATTGACTGAATGGAACTGACTGAATTTCTGGTTCTTCTTCTCTTCCTCTGCAACTCTTTCATTTACCACATTCAACAGGTTTTCTGAAATCAAGAAATGAAGATTAGCCAAGTCCTCCTCTAGGTTGGCCAAATCATTCAACCCCTGTTCAAGTACATCATCTCTGACAACATTGATAGAAAATGAGTCAGCCAGATCAACCTTAAGCTTTAGTTTACCACGGGGAATAATATACCGGCTAGGATCATACTTTTTCTCTGATAGTTTACCAGCCTCAAGCATAGGTACTACCACCATAAGGTTTTTGGGTTTTGGTTGGGTTGGAGGTGCATCCATCATGCATAACTCAGTGCCTTCAGGAATATATACCTCAGGTTTTGGTAAATGGGTAGGTGTGATATAGATACTGGGGTTAAAGGTGGATGAAAGTGTATGGATGAGGTTAAGATGAGGAGGTGATGGAACTCTGTCATGGGGTGGCAACGGGTTGGTAGTGACGTTGGGTTTTGGCGGTTGTGGGGGAGTTATGACTTTATTGTCTATGAGATCTTGGATCTCATGACGGAGACAAACGCAACGGTCTGTGTCATGTCCTGGTTGTTGGTGGAAAGCACAGTGTTTGGTAGGGTCATGTTTGGCTGGGAGAGGTTCGGGAAGAGGTCGAGGGTCCAAAGGCTTCAAATACCCTCTTTTTGTCAAGATGTTCATTGCTATAGAGAGTGACATATAGAGAGGGGTGAATGTTCTGCTTGGGGCTCGAGTTGTGTTTTGCGGGCCAGCATGAGCAAAGGGGTCGGCTATTTTAGTGGTGGTGGCAACCATGTTGATTTCAGAGGGCTTCATAGCTATGCTACCACTGGCGGTAACATTGGAACTGCGACCAAAAGGCTTCCGAACAGGTTCCTTATCTTCCACAATGATTCCCTGTTTGATGGCATCCTCTATCTGGACCCCTATCTCATTTAAGTCATTAAAAGTGAAGAGCGGGAGGACTATCATTTTTTGTAACATCTTTCCATGCAGATTTCTGACTATCATACGGATTTGGTCTTTTTCAAGTAGTCTGTTGGTCATCATTGCTGCTTTTGCCCTCTATCTGGTGATAAAGGTCGCGAAACTTTCATTGGGCTCTTGACAGGTGGCCTCTAATTCCTGAGTAGTCACTTCAATCTGGGTGTTATAAGCATACTAGGTGATAAAGGCCCCGGCCAACTCTTCCCAACTTTGTTTTACCGAGTCCTCTAACTTGGCATACCAAATAGCAGCCACTCCTGACAAAGTTCGTCCGAATAAAGAGAGCTTTTGCGGACGAGTCAAACCCATAGGCTTTAAGACATCAGAGAACAGGCGAATGTGCACCATTGGGTCGCCGGAGCCATCAAACCTATCAATGAGTGGCATTTTAAACCGTTCTGGCAACTTCAAAGCTGTCTCAGTGTACCCGTCTTCGATGTCCGGGATTGAATTGACTCCTTGTGCCTTTTTGAAAATTTTTTCCAAGTTGGCCAGCTTCAACATAGTTGAGTCAGACTCAGGTGCTTCAGAGGGATAGAGCTCTCCCACTGGTTATGGAAGAGGAAATAATCCTCCTGAAGTTTGTGCAGGAACCCTCAGATCTTCTAGTGAATTAAGTTCAGGAAACTCATCAGCTAGTGGAGGTGGAGGTGGAACTGGATGATTCACCGGAGGTGGTTGAGTAATGGACGCCCCAGATGAGCATTGCAGTTCAGCAAGAGTACTGCCGTGAGCAGCAAGAGTAGTCCATTGGGCAGCAACCGTAGTGGCAACGGTATCCATGCTCCATTGGAGACCCAGTAGTATATCTGCTATATTTTCTGGAATCTGAGCCATCACTGATTCTGGTGAGTTGAGTGGTGAGGATCTAGCAGGTGAAGAAGGGGTATTTTGGATAATTGATGAAGCTTTTGCTTTTCTTCGTGTAACCAATGGCAAAGAAACTAACACTGGCTGACCTTGAACCAAATCTGCACTTTTGCAAAGTCTACCAACGCGAGTCCATAAAACTTGGGGGATATCAGACCTTCCGGAAGCTATAGTGCCCAACTACTTTTCTGAAACAAAACGGGACCCTTGATCAAAATTTCATTAGCATCCTAGCTCAACTGATTACTGCTAACTCATGTGAAAAATTGAACTCAACCCCACAACTTGAAATGACTGAGCCACTCATCTGAATCTGAGAATTCCCATACATTGCACATAACACACAGTAGGAAAGAGAACAAACACCCCTATGGGGGCTAGGGTTACCCTGTCCTATCTTTGAAATGATCTAGGGTTTCACTATTCAAACAAGTGGCATCATACATCCTAGAAATGAGAGAGCATCCTGTCCTAATTTTGGAAGGTACTATAGCTCATTATATACACAAGTTTAGATCTGCTCTAAGGGTTGAAGTCAAGGTGACGTTACCAAAGAGTCCTTTGGGTCATAACCAATAAAGATCCCAGGAAATTAGAAGAGTCAAATAGCCTCTCTTCAGAGTCTGAGAACCTTGGATAGCAAAGCTAGATAGCAGGGCTACATAGCAAAGCTATCCTTTTGACAAATCTCAAAAGGTTACAACACAAGGCCTCTAAAGTATCGTAAAAATAGGTGTAGTGTCACAAAAAGCTTACCTGTGCTCCCACTAGTATCTGGGCAACATAAGGACTTGAAGTGCACCAATGAATGCAATGCAATGAACATATAATTGAAAATAAAGGTCATATCATGGAGTTCGAGTCAAGGTTTCATAAAATCCCCAGCAAAGTCGCCAGAAACTGTAACATGCCCGGGGGGTACCCGCGCGCGTTAAACAATTTGGACTCCCGAGATCTCTTTGATCTAGTCTCACGAGTGCAATGTGAAACGTAGATGAGAGTCCAGCTTTGGAAACTTTTAGTAAAAATCCATTTTATTGCAATTTTGTCAAAAATGAACTGTGTCATCAGATCTCAGAGTCGCCACCTAATATTTATTTTGGGAAAATTAGGAAACCCATGACTCGTGCCAAGGCCACTGTTCGTCGTAACCAAGGATGCTTGGCTCAGAACCTTAGGTATGAAGGGGAAAGGTCATTGATAGAGCACCCCCACTCACCCGATCAGAAGATCGCCCTCTACTAAGCCATGATATGGATTTTATTTTTTTTATATGTTGATGTTCTGATTATTTAATAAATCCTAAAATTTACTATGTGAAACATATAAGTATAGATTATGCCACCCATTTTGGACCAACTCGATTTCATGTAGTTTTGAAAGAGTTTGAAAATGTACAACCCAAATAAATTGAGTTTACAAGTATGAAAATCAACATTGTTCCAAATTAAACGACACAACCTCCATCCGCTGGCATTCATACAGTTATATCACATAAGCAAATAGCCACATGGTAGGATGCTTAAACATAGTAAGAAAAACACACACAAACGGGATGCTAAAGCATAAAAACTTACATGTTTGACGACCCACAAACAAGCTACAAAACAAAGTTAGTAAAACATGCATGATCTTATATACAAAATCCTAATGCAATTCACTCATGAGATGCGACTAAAGATTCGGCTTCTAAGATATGACATGTGAATCATCTCAAGAACATGAGGTAGCGCACATAATCACATAGGAATTGATTAAATCCACAAATGCAAACTTAGCCGAATCAAGGTGCATGAAACATAGATGCAAAGCATGAATATGATGAAAAATAAATATGATGTTTATGTACAAATAAGGAAAGCAAGTAAAAGAATGGGATAGAAAGAAGCGGGGATGGGGAATTATTACAACACTTGAATTATTACATACCCAAATAAATGAGGAGGAAGAAAACAAATAGTACAACAAACTAAAAAAATCCTCACATACTCTCAAAATAAAAAATAAAATAAAGAAGCTTCATGTGCGCCGAAAAATATTCAGCTTGACGTAGGGAAACTGCTCCGTTCTATCCGGGGAAACTTATTTTGCAGAAGCACTATTCATCCCGAGATACTATTCACTGCCGGAAGTTACTATTCACCATGACAATTACTATTCACCTTTCTTGATCGTTATTCGTCTTACCGGGCATTTTTCATCCGCAATTAATATTCATCGCCGGAGGTACTATTCATCGACAGGGCTATTATTAATCGTCGGGGTTACTATTCACCGTCGGAAGTTACTATTTACCGCCGGAGGTTACTATTCACCACCGATCACTATTCATTCGGTGGGGTCACATCTTTTAACAAATTAGGTAGTTCGACCGACCATTTAAAGTGGTAAAATTACAACAATTTATAAATAGTAAACTACAACATTTTATGTAAATTACAACAGTTTATATACAACAGTAAATTACAGCAGATATATGGGTGGTGCAACTTTCCCATTAAAACAATAAAAATAAATAGTTATGAAAAGCAATAAATGAAATATTTAAGCAAGTTATATCACATTTTTGAATTAAATGAAAGTTTGCGAAAACTCACCTTTCGGGAAATGATGAATTTTTTAATTCACAAACTTTCTTTTGATTACCCTCAAGTCTGTGGAATGTGTTCTCAATTCTCAGTCCAAAATTTGGAATTACAACTTTAGCGGTTCCTTCTTTCTGATTCTTTTTCTCTCAAAATTCTCTCGCACCACTTTTTTTTTATTCTCTCTCCCAATTTTCTCAGACTTTTTTCATCTCTCCCCTAAAAAAAAAATCTTCTCCATCCTTCTCTAATCTTTCCCTTTTTATAGAAAATAATTTTAAGAAAAAGACAAAAGAAGAAACGGTGGAAGGAGTTGATTTCAAAAGGTGCACAGTGATCTTTCCCCTTTTTTTATAGAAAATAATTTTAAGAAAAAAGACAAAAGAAGAAATGGTGGAAGGAGTTGATTTCAAAAGGTGCACAGTGATCTTACTGTGCATTGCACAGTAAAATTACTATGCAGTTTACAATATAATAATATATAAAAGGAATTGTTAGCATAAATATATGTACAAATACCCAGAAATATATAAAAACACACACGAATATGTAAAATTAAAATACATGGACTAATAAAATGTATTTTAGTAGGCCAAATATACAACATAGTTTGACCAAAGTGGGTCTAAAGCCACAGAAAACAAAAAGACACACGATGGGAGTGTAGTGAATTTTTTTTCAAATGAGGAATAGTACCCTTATATAATATAAAATATTTAATATATATATATACAAAAGTATGGTGCGTGGGTGAAGCCATGGCACCGAATAAATTTAATAAAATATTATATAATAATATAACATAATATATATATATATATATATATATATATAAAGGAAAAGAAAATGGAGAATGAGTCTAAACTAATTTGGCAAAAATAGGTGTAAGACTATGATTAAAGTTTACATTCCATCTTTTCACTGAGAATTTTGTGAGATAGCATATTCTTATTTTCATCATCGAGTAATTGAAAGAAAGCGCCCAAGTCTTAGGGCCAGTCAAAATGGGGTGTCTACACCTTGGCTGGGGGAAACAATACTGTGGCCCATTGGATAATTGAATATGATATATTGATTGACCCTCGAGATCCCATTGCTACTGACACATTGTTACTCTATTGGATGTACCACGTAATTTGTCACTAGATGGGAATTGTTATTGGGATAACACAGATCATTGAGAATTTAATTGAAATCGGAATTGTATTGAATATGCTATCGATTAATGGTTTTGTTTATTGCGAAGGATTGACTTGATGGCTAATTTAATTAATATTAGTACTGTTATGGAACATCATTGATATAACCTCTTTATCCTATTATTACTCATTGGGCATTAGCTCACTATTTATGTTTATATATATGTAGGTGAGCATCTGAACATCAAGGATAGAGATGACCTCGGAGTCACCCCATGGTCAGCCTTTTATGGAGCTCCCGAGATGGAGCCACTTGGACTCATGACGAGCCAAGCAAGCCTAAACCCCCTTTTGTTATGAACTCTTAGTTCAATTTTGGTATAGGGGTTTTTGTATATGTCTTTTGTCTAGTTGAATTGTGGCTAATCCTCTGTTTGTTTTATTTTCCTTCTTCTTTTGGAAGCTTTTG